AATTTGGATATCGAAAAACGAAGACTGGAATCGCCGCCTGAAAAATCGCAGATATCGATTCCGATTAGAGTTGGGAAAAGAACTGACAAAGCCCAGCATTCTGTGCAGGGCAAGCAATCCAAATAGTCTCCTTCATCCAGCTGTCAGAGCCATTGAAGCAGCGGGAGTATTTGTTGCGCGCAACACTGCAGCCCAAAGCACACCATCAACGTCAGGGTAGCAGCGGAGCCACAAGAGGGGAAGATGCCCCTATTGTCCTAGAAACGGCGATCGGAAAGTCAACACAATCTGCTGTGAATTTCGTTTGTGATACACATAGGAAGATCAACACAACTGTAACATGGGCTAAGGACTTTAGCGATAGCAAAAGATGAATCTCTACCATTTATTTTAGTGAAATTATCTGTTTTTTTTTTTTTAAATACCGTATTCAATCGGAATGTAAAAATGTAAACTTTTATGAATAGGAAGAGTATATGAATTATATTTTGATTACTGTTACAACTGTTGAAATAAATAAAAATATTGTTTAACAACATATGCTGAAATAGTTTGAGACCCAGAAAACCTATTTTCAGTAATCTACAGCAACAAACACAGAGAAATAAGATAAAATAAAAAAAACAAAACAAAACAAAACAAAAAAACACGTGGTCCTCCGATGACCAGTTTGGTATGCAAAAATGAAAACCTGCCCCCCCAAGTTACAGGGTGTTAAGCCAGGACTCCTGGTTTGCCACTCAAACATAAAATAGGAAGTTACTTTTCAATCACTCTATAGAAGTAGACGGAGTATAATTGAGAATTCTAGTTCTTCACAAATCTAAGCCAACAAAGCGGCTAGAGACCAAAAGATTCTTCTTCTTCAACAACTGATGTCAACGTCTTGTATTTCCTTTTCTCCTGTAAACTCTTAGGACTGACATTTGCAAAAATGTATGAATTATTTTTTACTTTTTTAAAAAAAATCAAACAATTTTTTTAAAATCAGATATTTTAAATCAAACATTTCTACCTCTCAAACAATAAGAGTAAGACTATAAAAAGATGACTCCAGAAATATCAACTTACAGTTTTACATGCAAAAAAATCTTTAATATTTTTAATTTTATTTATCCCCGCCCCCAAATCTCATATTTGTTTTCTTTAAATGCCTTTGCAATATGGCTCAGATTACTTAATAATAGTAGTTGGGAATCCAGGATTTTTAGAAATATGGGATTCAAATAGAAAAATTACGATGAATTCAGTTTGTGATCAGTATCTTAGTGGATAGTTTAGGTCAGGAGTTTTCTGTAATTTTGGTATGTATACCTTTATTTATAATATGGTATATAGTTGAAGCTAAGTTTTTTTTAGCACTAGAATTGACAAAAACATCAAAAATAAATAATAAGAAGAAAACGATAAATATCTTTTATGAAAAGTAAAATATTTTTAAATTGAATTTTATGATTAATGAAATGAGGGATGATGATGATTGTTGCTGTTGTTAATTTACTCACATTTGATTTAATAATTATAATTTTCAAGTGCGCATATTTCTATAAATGAATACTAATTGATGATCGTCAGAAGCGTAATTCCCGGAAAAAAGGCGAAACAAATTTACGGTTTCCGAGAATTTGTAGCTTGTTCAGTGGTGAGACAACAAAAACTGCGTCATTTCGTAGCGCACTACGCATGATGCTTTTTGATTGGAGCAAACGTATCTTACGTAACAATTTAGCAGTCGACACCGCCAGCAAAATTCTTTTCGATTGATTTTTATTTATTTATTTATATTTTTATAATTGTACTTAAAATAGCTTACGAATAACATTTTCACTTAAATTTTATTTCGTCCGATGCACAATTTTTAAATCTTATAACTATTCTGATGAAGAAATTCTGTAAACATGTTTATTGTTTACTATCCATAGCTTACGAATAACATTTTCACTTAAATTTTATTTCGTCCGATGCACAATTTTTAAATCTTATAACTATTCTGATGAAGAAATTCTGTAAACATGTTTATTGTTTACTATCCATTTTTAAAAAATTGTTGGGAACCGAACAAGAATTTCATTATGTTTGTATTCTTACTCTGCTAGCAAATTGGATATTTAGTTTTAGAAATTTTTAATTCATAGTAGGTTTATAAAGGCAGTGCAATTGTAGCAATATTACCAATTTAATCATCAGAATAGCTGGCGTGTAATGAGCGTAGAGATACGTAAAAAAGATGCACAAAAAGAGAATAAAATAAAAAACAAAAAACGAAAAAAAAACACCGACAATTGTAATGTCAGCTTATCTAAATCAGTCATTCACACTTTTCTTTATACACTTTTTTTGTGTAATGACATTTACTAAACAATGTATGAACTTTACGAAACATATTTCCATTTCTATATATATAAAAAATAAAATTGTTTTACTTTGAAAAGATGCATTCGCAAAAACAAAAAATCTGTGGTAAAAATGTGAATAAATTGCAGTTTTAAATTTTATCAAAAATCATTCAGTCGACTGCATTCCCTTCTGAAAGGTAAAAAAACTCCCCATAAAGAGACCTCCTTCCAGGTGGTTAATTTAAGTTTAGCCTCTGGTATAAACCGTCCTTATATCTATCTATTAATTTATTGTGATTTTTTTCCTATTTGACGTTAATTTAGCTTGAAAGAATTGATATCTTGTTAATTAATTTGACCAACGTTACCTAGGCAACACCACTCTATTGATATTTATTGTATTAATTAAAAATGCAATTATGGCACAATGCTGAAAAGGGGGAAATGGGTTCTGATTCACGACCCATACACTCGTTACAGTTTGCGCATTCACCACAAAAACTCGCCCGTCACCAATCAATTCTCCATACACCATAATACCGCATCCTTTCAGGGGGACTTACAAAACGCACCCCGAGATTTAAAAATGTAATGATAATAAACATTTCGTAGATAAAAATCTAATATTTGACAATGAGAAGGGGGGATGAGATCCAAAACAAACTAAATATCAAACAAGGCAAAATAAATATAACTGATGTTAGTAGGACCCGGCCATCCCTCAAAAAGGAGAGGCTGCTGTGTTTTGCCCATTGAAGAAAATCAAGAAGCTCTCTCGCTAAGGGAGAGGGAAAAGAGAAAATATAGATGGGCATGGACAACGCCGCTCTATTAGAACACAAAGACGATTAAGTCCAAGTTCGTAAGTAGTCTTAATGCATTAAAAACGTTCTAGGGTAGGTGAAGTTCAGGTTAAAAAGAAAATAAATTTTGGAAATTGAAGTATACACAGCCTCCTTACATATGAAGTACTGCTTTTATATACTTATAAAATCTATGGGAGTCTTTGAATAGAAATAACTAATGTCAGCTCATTGTCACAGTGTTATCAAGATGCCCCGGAGTAAGAATTTGCACAGTAAGAATAGGGCACATTATTTCACAGGGGCGCCGAAATTATTTTTTGGGTGCTAGCCCCCTCCCCTCCTTGCACCAGGGCTAAATTAAATGTATCTTTTTTCTGATTTTTGCCATAAATCTTAACGCTTGTTTTATCAAGTCTTCTTTTTGTTAGTTAGTATAGGAATTAAACCCTATTTCCAACACAATTACATACCCACACACATACCATATTAAAACACGCCCAAATTTTATTTTCTATCCAATAACAATATTTACAAACATGCCAAAAAGATACCACAATACAATACGCCATTTATATCAAAGTGTCTTCTGGTTAGAAATTAACATCATGTGAAATATTTAACCAATCGGATAAAACTAAGTCTATTTTTCTATAACCTACTTTCGGGGGAAAATTTCTACAGCATAACGTACAGATTTCGACTTCCAGGGGCAGATATGCAACTGACTCCAAGCTATTCAAATTCAGACACAAGATAAGACGTGGCTACATAGGTTTTTCTTGCTTCTTCCACAGCGCTTGCTGGAAGAAACATGTGTCGGTGACTTCAAACGAATCATCTCCAACAACAGCAGCAGCAGGAGAGACGATCAGTGAATCTTCGCTGACGATAAAAGTCGTTTTTAAAAAGCAAATTTTTCTGTAACTCAACTACCCAAAGATTTTAGTTGAATTAAAGATTATTTTATTCCTTTTTGATTCTCCTGAATGCATGTACATATATTTGTAAATACAAATGATTTATTTAATAACATTTATTTTTATTACTGTTTGGAATTCGAACGTTCGGATTTTTAATATAAAAAAACCAAAAAAAAAAACCTAACCAACAAAATTACCGACATTAGCTTGAAAACTTCTGTTAATTTTGGGAAGAATATCAGTGAACACCGTGGGCATTTCGGGATGACTCTTTACAGCTTCCTTTTTTTTAATATAAATTATTGCCTTGATTAAGAAGATAATAGAATAGTTTCCTGTTGCTTCTTCACACTTTTGAATGAAAGAGATTACCAAAGATTGTTCTGCTAATTGATCCATAGGTGTGGGGAAGCAGAGAAATAGTGTTAAAAAATAAACGATAAGAATTAATTTCACAAGGGGTGGGGGTAGGTGATGTATAGAAATACCGACCGACGTTCCCCTTTTAAACGAATTATAAAGTTTGTGTTTCTTCAATGTTTCGGATATTCTTTGAGTTTGACTATGCTCAAAGTGAGTCAAAACTTTTAAGTTATTTCTTTTTGTTCTCGTTATGTCACAGTGCGGCTGAAATTACGTAAACAAAAACTGTTGCCCGATTTCTTTTCCATTAATAATGGTTTCGGGAGTAAGAAGAATGATTTGGATTTAAGTTGACACGCCCAGAGACGATAATGAAAGGAATTCTGCCCAAATTTCCTGGAACTGGTACGCAGTTACGTTCAGTATCAGTAGATGAAGCTAAGAAGGCAAATTCGCTTCATTAGAAACTACACGGTGTTCCAGCTTTCTCTGTTATTGTCTCGATCTTTTTACACATCAACAAGTTACAATACTTTTTTTAGTCATCTGAATTCCAAAGTTAAAAAACAACCAACATGTCCCAAGAAGAAAGATTACGCGAAAAACTTGTTAAAATACGCGAAATTTTGAAAGAAGATATTGGATTCGAAGTATATCCGTTCAAAGTAAGCAATATTAACATTTTTTTTGTTTTGTTGATTTTTTTTTGTCATCGTTATCATCGTAATTTTGAATTACTTGCTGCATTGTGAAAGTTTAAAAGAATGAAGACAATTTTTGCGTTGTAGCAAGTACCCCCCCCTCCCCACAAAAAAATTATAACGATATTTATTAAACATTTATTTAATAAACTTATACCAGGAACTGTATTTTTTGACGTTACTAAAAATGAATGACGTTACTAATGGTGAGAGTTTTCGATTGTTATTCATTGATCTCGGGTTGACATTTTTATTGCGTATTTAAACTGAGAGAAGTCTGCACCGAGCCATCTCACAATTAGATCAAGTAAATAATAAAGAAAAAGAAAGCAAACATTGAAATTCAAACCCCTCAAACGAATCATTGCTTTGAAGTTGAACTTGGAAGGAATTTTATTTCTTTACTAGACTAGCCGTTTTTTATTCTGTATAAAAATCTTAAAATTTGTCAATAGTGTTGCTTAAAAATTATAGCTTCTGCTTGCATAATCTAAATTTTGTAATTTTTTTTTTTTTTTTTTTTTTTTTTGCACCTAGGGATTTCAAAAATAAGTTCCCGAGAGTGACAAAATAATGTTTCTGTCGTCTGTGTGTGCATGTGCGTGTTTCTCACGTCTTACCAACAGATTTTCTTTTTCTTATTGCATGTGATTTTTGGGAGGGGGGTGTTAAATCTTGTAACCAAACCAATTAGAAAAGAAATTGGCACATAAGGTTCCGGGGAAAATGTCATTCTCGCTGTTATTAGTGAAGAATGAAATAAACTTCAATTATCTTCTTCACATGTACATTGTACGGCATAGTGTCACACTCACAGTCATTTAACTTTTTTGCGTTGTAATCACACTTCAGATACCTACGGATATGTTTTTTTTAATGAACCAAAGAACACAGTTTTTGTCATGAATGAATGTTGTAATTTTTTACTAGAACACTTCACACACGATATTGGAGCGGAGAGCAATAGTCATGTGATTCACATAGGTGCGCATCTCATTTTTTGGCATAAAAAAAGCAATGCAGATGAACTTTTAGTTTTAGACTGTGAAAGATTTTAAAATTGGAACATTTTTCGAGACAATGTCTTTAAGTAGACGTAAAACAAACTATAATGTTGAAACTGCCAGTGACTGTTTTCGTAGAGAAATTTCTTAAAAATGTTCTCAGAAAAAAATAAATAAATAAAAATGAATAGACGCGAAAAATTTGTTTTGTTGTTGAGAATTGAATTGACCCCCAAAAACAACACATTTACAAAGTTTACTTATATCGGACATTCAACAAATTAGTAACATATTATTTATGTCCAAATAAATATTCACATTTCTACTCTGTTGGCTGGATGGCTTTGGTTCCTTGGTACTATCTACCATCGGAAAAAAAAATTGTCCAAACATTCATTATGAAAAATGAAGAAGACGGTTATCTTACTTACTTAGAGAAGTACCTAAATTAAATGTCTATTTTCTAAAAATGGAGAACAGGCTAACAAAGTGTAGAAATGTTACATGCTATCTCTCCGATCCTGAAAAGAGAATCTACTAATCCAGCACGTCATGTTGAAAGAAAACATATCTATCAAGGATGTAGCTTCTTTTTACCGGTGTCTACCAAAAGACTGTGTCTTCTGTAAAGACCGGATTCCGTTGATTGGTTGTAAAAGGTCACATGACCGAGTAAGCGCAATGCATACGGTGCGTGGGGCAGCGGGTAAATAATAATAATAATACGGATCTGGAAAAAGCAAGGAAAATTAATTTATGTCACAATCGTAAGAAAAATAAACATTTATGCCGTAACACCAACACTAACCAAGTGAAAAATAACCATTCTATTTTGTCTCCGTACAAGAACCTTTGACAACAGAAAGTTGTTATCACTGCTAATAAAAAAACCAAACCAAGAAACAATCTGATGAAATTTTATTTTCCAAATTGTCATTCCTCTTTCAAGTCAAACCAATTAATTCGTACAAAAAAAAAAAAAAAAAAAATCACTAAAATAACAAAACTGAAACAATTTACTTGTTCTACAAAATGAATAAAAATGTTTGGAATATGAAATGCTATTCGTATTTGATATCTGCCATGATGATATCTATACCTATCACCATTTCCGATATCAAATATCTTCAATTCCAAACATTTTTTTTTTTTATTCATTTTGTTTTTGTAGAACAAAATTTCTCACGTTGGATAAAAAATTGTTATATTTGTGATGGGTATGACTCGGATTTTATTTTCCACCTAAAATCCAGGTAAACTGACCCCCACATATCTATACCATTTATAATATTTTTAATAAAATAAAAAACATAGAAGGAATGAATGTATTGTAAAAACACACAAAAGTTAAAACTGTTTTAAAATTTTCTGAAATATTTATTTAAAAAGTGCACAAAAAAGTTAAAGCATTAATGAAAAATGGAACACCAGCAGTACAATAAACTTTTCTTTGTTTCTAATATGGCTTTCCATAAATAAATAGCAGACCATTAATGAATTCTAAAAAGCTTGAGGCTACTTGTCAAGGAGAATGGAGTAGAGAAAAATAGAAATAAGACATTAACGGTCAAATAAGGCTTGCATAAAGGTCAGAGATTTACCCCCCCTCCCGACACATACAGGTTCTGGCTCTTAGAAGTAAAAGATTAACACATCTATCCAACCAAATATGTTAGCTCTATCTCTGATATTGAGCGCTTTCTAATAAGTACCGCGCATATAATATATAAATAATTATACATATATATATATTTATTTATATTTATATTCACTTTTCACATATATATATATATATATATATATATATAAATAAATGGTTGAAATTCCAAACATAATTGCTGATGTCATTTTTGTGCCATTATAAATGAATCCAATTTTTTCTCTCTTCATCAATCTTCTGAAATTTTGTATCATTAACGTAACATGATGTAGAAAGTGGGAGAGTTATATTGTGCAAAACTTCTGCATTAAAACCTAATTCCCAGAAACAAGTACATGATGGAAAAATAATGTGAATTTGTGGTGAGCCCAGAGAAAAAAATTAAAATAAAATATGAAAATAAAAAAAAGAATTAAAATAATGCATTTTCTTTCCTCTAAAACCCATACCTATTTTCTCTCTCTCTCTCTCTTTCTCTCCTTTTCTCTCTATCGTCCTGGGTATGACGTTAAACTGTATCCAACAGCAAGGCCTCTGATCAGGAGGTTTTGAGGAGTGTGGAACCACCGCTTAATTGCTGGTGTTCCCAGGTCCACCCTGACCCCGGGTGGTAGCACTTGTTAGGGTGCCAGCTATGGGTAAATAGTGAACTCCTAGTTTTTTCCAGATTTTACCCACATCCTGGGTATGGCGATAAACTATGTCCAACAGCAAGGCCTCAGATAATGTTTTCGGAAAAATAATGTTGCCAGCTATACATTTCTGGAGAAATAATGTTGCCAGGTATATGTTTTTTGGAAAAAATAATGTTGCCAGGTATACATTTAATAGTACTATATATTTAGTATATATATAGGTATATATATGTCTGTATATATATATATATATATATATATATATATATATATAAACTTAATTTGGCATTAAATGACCTACAGTAGTTGATATACCATAAAACCCAACCAACCAACCTTTTCTCTCTATACTTCTCACTCAACTAATGAGAAGACAACCCTCAAATAAAAAAGGAAGAAGAAAAAAAACACTGAACATGGCTGTGAAACAGTGGAAGTTTTCTGGCCCTGATTTCTAGTCATTGTTACCAGAAATATACCAAAATAAGAGAGGCCCCACACATCTGCTATAAAAAATGAAAAGGAAAGGAACATTGGAAAATAAGATAATTTTAGCCAATCAAAAAAGACAAACTAAAAGACTTTTTATGTTAGTTGAAACCAAGCTTTGCTTAGTCTGGAGCCCTTTATTAATGTATATAAACAGACAGCTGACAAGCAGAGCAGAAGAGACCTCTAGAGAAACCAGCCCAGTGGGTCACATGAAGAAGTTAAACTGTCGTCTGCTTAAGACATTTTTCTGCCCTTCTGAGTGCCAAGAAAACAGCAGTCTGATGTCTGCAACAAGTTTCCAAATTAAACACAATCTCTACTGCTACCAAATCTGACTTGGAAACCGAGCTGAATGTACTTTCACCAACCTGAATTTCAAATGACTCACTCCAATTGAAATCAAATAAATGAACATAAATTATTTGTTTATACCTTTGATTCTGTTTATTTGTTCAGAAATTTCCAGTTAATAATATTAAGAACCTCTGCCACTTACCAACAAATTTTTTATTTTCAGGTGCAGTGGTATAATGAATTTGTGGACAAGACATACCAGCTTCCCTATGGTATGGACACCATTGCAGTGGTTGTTATTTCAACTCCAGATATGTTCGATAAAGCTTTCAAACAATACTTAGCCACTGGGCTATATAAATTCACTGAGAATCCTTCATATGAAGCATTGATTTATTACTTGGAACAAGTTCAAAAGGTAGTAATTTTCTATATTCTTATATTATTTCAAATTATTGTTCTCATCTTGGTTGATATAGATGTTATTATAGACACAACATTTTGACCAAGTATCATCTGGTCATCATCAGGTGTCCATTGATTTGGTGATATAGGACATCTGTTTATTGTGATATTTTGTCCCTGTGATATCACACATTTTTCATTCCTGCTGAATTCATTGTTCAATCTAAGGATTGAACTTGTGACCACTAGATGCCATAATATATGTATAACCAAATCCTATATCCTAGATATAGGAGTTGGTTATACATATGTTGGAGTAGTCATGAGTTCAGCCTTTGGATCTCGTAGTGAGTGAATATAGGAGTTGATTATACATGTGTTATTGTCATCTAGTGGTCAGGAGTTTAATCCTTGTATATGGTAGTGGAGGAAATAATACAATAGTATTGACAATTACTCATCACAAAGATGATGATGATTAATTAACAAAGTATCTGGAGTAATTAACAACCATGTTAATGATTCTAACATTTCCTGCTAATAGAAATATTGGACCAAAAATGAGAGATAATATTGAGTATTAATGAAAATTGTTGCAAGTTTACATCAGGGATGATTCTCAAGCTAAAACGAATAGATACAATGAAATAATGAAAAACAAAACAAAAAACCAAAAATAGTTTTCATGAATAAAGATAGATTTTTTTGAACTTCCAATAGAATGCAATTTAAAGAGATTAATATATAATATGTAAACTAAATGAAGAGAAAAAATAAAACAAAGTAACTCAAGTTACACACTTGAAAATGAAGGATTATCAGGACAGGGTCAATCTTTATCTTGTGTCACTTGTGGTTTATATCTTAAGTATAAGTTTAACTTCTTGATTTTTTTTTTTTTAATTATTTTATTTTTTATTCTTCATTTATCTTACACTTTATGAACTCCATGTTGTATTGAGCACTTTTAAATTGCCAACCTTATCATAGTTGGAGTTTGTCAACTACGATTGTGTTTCTCTCATGTGTGTGTATATGTATATATATATATATATATATATATATATATATATATATATATATATATCTATAATTAATATAAATAATAGGTTTGCTACTTTGTTACCTTCAGCATCCTGAATTTCATAGACAGACCCTCTGCGAATTAGACTGTCCACTCATCAGGTGTATCAGCAATTAACTGCTTACACTTCTCGATTATTCTTTTTTATATGAACTTTTCATTGGTGTAATTTTTTTTTTTCTTTTGAACAGTGTGTATGCCCATGCACCTGTCTGTGCATATGTGTAGAATGTTGTGATTATTTGTCTTACTTTTTTTTTCACTTTACAATCACTCCTTTATATTTTTCTTTCTTTTTCCTCTTTTCTTTCAGTTTTCTAGACATGTTGTCGTTGTTATAGTTAATTCAGCTATAACATTTATTAACTTATTGTATGCAATATTTTCTGAAAAAAGCAAGCTTTTAATCAAGTGTATTACACAAGAGAAAATATTAGAAATACAAATCAAGCATTGAGTGAAGTTCTTTGGTATCAAGGCATTATCAATATTTTATCAATCTGCTCCCAAAAGATTCACTTCAATGGCTCAGAAATATTCTTCAGGTTTTATATGGACAATTATGATATCTAGTAGGCTAATGTTTACCAAGACATCAGACTACCATTACTTAAGTTAAGTAATACATTAATTTAATATTATTTATTTAAATATCATAATGATTATTATTATTATTGTTTTAATGAAAAAGGAATTATCATGAAAAATTAAAGGTGGATATTTTGAGATTAATATATTCATTTAGCAGTTAGGGAAGCTAAAATTAATATTTATTTGGAAGCTTGTTTAAATGAGTCCATCCAAAAAAAATCAGTGAAAAAGCCTTTACTACTTAAAAATGAATTTTCTACATGCATGGATAACAGAATAGTAATAACAATAATTTCCTATGTATGATCAAGACAAAACAATTGAGATAAAAAAAAAGGAAATTAAGTTGGTGCAATTTAAAGTTGGTTGATAAAAGTCTTTGTGTGAAATGAGCGTTCTTTTCAGATATTTGAGTTTTGAGAAAATTCTATATGTATATGTTTGAAAAGAAAGAGGGAAATTACAGAGAGACTAAAATATGGTAAAGTTTGGAAAAGTGTTTGATGCAGAATACAGGGAAAAAAGATATAAAAGAAATCATTTCTTTTAATTTGCCAAGAAATATCTGCTATATGTTCAAACTTAGACCCTAGAGAATACAAAGTTTAATTGTTAAATATATTTATGCTGAAAGATTTATTTAAAAAAAAGTAAAAGAAATAAATGTTTTTAATGCACCAAAAATATTGTTTCTATGACTTGGGGGTTAGATGTTTAAGTCACCAAAATAGGGGTTTACTTGTTTACAGCTGTTTATCTTTGGATAACATCCTTCATTCCAAATATACATCAATATATGGCCTTTTAAAAATGCATGCAAAAATAATTAATATAAAAATATATATCTCTCATAATAGAATATACAATATGCAAAGAATTCATAAGTTCCTATCAGAAAGTTCTTGAGTTGAAAGTTTTTTAGTTCTTTGCACACACACACACACACACACACACACACACGTGTGCGTGTATGAGAGACAGAGAGGAGAGTTTTTGTTAATGTGTATGTAGGTATGTAAGTATTTCTTGATAGTAGTAATTCTTTTGACTCACTGTGGGATTTTTAAGTGTCTGAAGCTTGAGGGTAAGGTACAGCAGATGAAATTCTTTTCAGTGGCTGGTCTTGTCCGTTTGTCTGCTCATCACCATCTGTCATTTCACTTTTTTTTTTAAGACAATAGAAGTCATCCCCCCAAATTGTTTTTGATTGGTTCTAGAAAGGACTCATTTGACAATCCATTTTTCTTTACCTACATTTAGGAATGATAACCTTTTGACCTCTTTTAGTTATTTCTTTATTTTTTCTTTATCTTTTTGTCTTTATTTCTTGGTTTGCCAACTTTTAGCTTTCTTTTTTTTTTTTTTGAAATAGCGATTGTTTTTTTTTTCTTTCTATCACTACAATATCTACTTTAATGGAAATACTTTACTATTGACAGATTTTGCCCGAAACTGATGTATGTTATTACTTTGATATGAATGAACAAAATAAAGCTACAATCTTGACACAAACTGCAGCCCATATTGCTGGAGGAGCATTCTATTACCAGCGAAAAGATGTTCAGAATGACCCATGGGGCAAAGACAAGGTTAGTAACAGTAAAATAATTTTTTATTTGACATAGAGTTTTTTTTTTATCATTTCACTCCAAGCTAGCCAATAATGTCATGAGGATGCAAGGGATTACTAGGAGTGAAAGAAAATGAGAAGACAGCAAACATGAACTTTTATGTCCTCAATAAGATGGAGAGTCAAAAGCTGTTCTTTCTCATAACACACCTTTTTTTTTTTTTTTAACTTTCATTCATTGGCAATGTTTATTGTTTAAAAAAGCAAGAATTGCAATTGTAATAAAACCTAAACATGTAAGGGAATTTAGACATTTTCTTTGTTCTTGAGAACTGACAACAAAAATAATAAACACTATTTATTTATTAGATTTATTTAATAAACAGTTTAATATTATTGTTGCAAATTCTCAAGAACAAAAAAAAAATAACTATGTATTCACTTTCATCATATGTTTAGGTTTTATTACATTTCTATTCATGACTTTTTAAAATAATAACCATTGCCGAGAATTGAAGGTAGTTAAAGAAGTGGTGTCATGGAAAAACTGTCCTATTGCAGGCACGAATTTTCCATGTTTGCTGAGAAAACTTATTGAGGAGAAAGGACAATAAAGTAACAGGGTTCAGAAAGGCAGAAGATAGCGATCAGCATTACATTTAAATTTCTGAAGATTGTAGATGGCAGTGAAGCAAGAAATCAGAAGGCAGTTCCATAGGCATGAAGTGCAAGAAAGGAGAAACTATTAGAATAGAACATATGGTTGCATCTAGCTAGTTCAAAAGTAAAATGGTTGTCAATCTGATAGTATGCTTAAATTCATATAATGGAATCACTAAGGAGGAAAGCTCATCAAAACAATTGCTATGAAAATATTTATAGGAAAAACAGAGGGAAGCCACATTCTGTCAATGGGAAAGTGACTGAAGTTGAGCTACCAGGTCAGGATCAATTACTTTACAGGCCCTTTGAATTTTGTTAAGAATCTTGAGATATATTGTAGGAACACCAGACCAGATATGGAAGCAGTATTCAGTGTATGGACGAAGGGTAGATTTATAAGTGTGCAAGATGAAGTATGATGAGAAAAGTTGTCTGGCTCAACATGGAAATTTAGGGAATACATTGTGAAGAAAGCAAATAACAAATATATCTCTCAAAGAAGGGAAATAGACAAACAAAATCCATTTCAAAGAAATACACAAGGAAAACACTTTTTGTAGAAACAATAACAATTTGGAACAAACTAAAAGGAATGATAAAGGAGCCTTATGGTGTCTAATAGGAGAATTTCAAACTTAGTAGGTGGGAAATATTTACCATGTTACCTTGTAGACCAGCAGTAGCTGAAAGAGCATTTGTTTTTTTTTGTTTTTTTTTTTGTTATTTTGGTTTAGCGGCATATCAATTCCTTATGGGTCATTTAATGCCAGAATTTAATTTCTTTGAGAGCATTACTAATTTCCTTTACAAAAATGTATTGTTGGTAATTTTTTTTTTTTACAAAAAATATATTGGTGGTAATTTCTTTTTACTATGAAAATGCACTGTTGGTATTTTTACTATAAAAATGCATTTTTATAATTTTATAGTGTTTTGAGGTTAAACTATTTGCCCATAGCTGGGATCCTAACAGGTGCTACCACCCTTTGTCAGAGTGGACCTGGGAACAACAGCAATTAAGAGGTAGTTCCATGCTCCTTAAAACCTCTTGATCAGAGGCCTTGCTGCTGGATGTAGTTTATCATCATACTCAGGATGAAACACTTGGTAGTTTCCTTACTCCTAAGGGTTTTGTGGTAGCAGAGTTTCAGAAGCTACAGATAAACACATATATACATATATGATAAATATCAATTTTTATATTTTATGGATCATTAAAAATTATTCTCATATTTTTAACAATATTACTGCTGTTACTAAGTAACAAGTTCTCTAGGCCTGGTAACCCATATATTGGAGTTACTAAACAGTAATTAATCAAAGAAAAATATCCACAAACAATTTAAAAATATATTCATTTGTTGAAAAGTATTTTTCTAAATGACTGACTTTAAATCTCTGTTTTTGACAAAAGTGTTCTTTTCATTTTGTTATACTGAATCCTAACTTAAGTGAATATTAAACTTGAACTTTATTGGTTCTTTTCTTGTAGAACAGTTTTTAATATACTTACTGTTATCTTTCACAGAAAATCTATGGATTCTCGTTCCATCCCAGATATGGTGGATGGGTCTCTTTGGACGCTGTAATTTTTCTAAAAGATTTGGAGTATCCCGATCTCCAGAAGTGTGAACCTGTTGATTGTATCCCAACAAATGAAAAGAGAATCAAGTTACTGAAACTCCTTAATGAGGACCATGATTATTGGGGAATGCGAGACATCATCCCAGTGGAGAAGAGGTATTCAGAAGAACAGATAAAATATCTCAAAGCATCATTAAGTGAAAGAAAAGCTATGGTGAAAAAAATGATTGAAAATATGAACAAACAAAATTAATTTATTTCAAAAAAAGAAGTAAAAAAAAAAAATGAAAAGGTAATTGATGGAATGAAAAAGGAAAAAAAAATAGGTAACTAAAAATGAATGAAAAAAGAAACAAACTTTCCTCTGTAAAATATTTTGTAGATTTTTAAATGTAAAATCCTGAAATAACATTTTATTTATTACAGCATATTTTGCTAATATAAATTTTCTTTTTAAGTTTATATTTGTTTTTAAGTTTCAAAAAATTTATTTATTATAAGTTTGTAGATCTTTGTAAATATTCAGAGTATAATTGTTCAATGTGCTGTTATAATTGTAAAATAAATCTCACTATTTAAAACACTACGTGTTAATGCTTTTTATAACATTTTGGTGGAGGCAATTATCTCTCTTGCATTGGTGACACAATCTTTGTTAGGACAATGGTGACCTGTTCAAACATTTACAAAGACAGAAAGTGAAAATACTGACACTGTTAAAAGGCGGTGTGCAGCAAAAATAATTGGAAAAATAAAGGGTGTTTCATTAAGACGGATCATATATAAGGGTGTTTCATTAAGACGGATCAAAGTCAGCACTAAATAAATCAGTGTTATTGGTGAAAATTTATTTATTTTTCTATTGGATCATGTTATTTAAGTCATGGCAATTATGTATGAAAAATAATATCGCCCAAATGTCCACCAAATCGGAAAGAAAAAAATCATTAGATGCTTAAACTTAATTCACATTTAAAATTGGTCCAAGTTATTAGAACACACTTTATATTAAAATATGGAAAGCTCATTTTAAATTATTTAAATGTCTTTGAAGTTAAATTTTAGTTTTATTTGAAAGATATTTGCTAATTTGTATGAAAAGAAAAAGAAAATTTCCTTTTGTAAATAAAGTTTTCAGGCATTTTTAAAACATTAGCATGTTCATTAGGCATTCATCAACTCATGGAAACATCATTAAAGATGTAAACAACAAATTCAAAAATATCTTAAAAGCCCAATATCTGTCTTAGACATGTGTTTTAATGTCAGTAAATTTAAAGATTAAGAAACTTGATTTTGTAAAAGTAATGCTTACTTTTTACTTAAAACAATGAAAATAACGTTTATTATGCACAGTAGCCTATGATGCCAACAACATTCCTGACCTCATAAACATGCAAAAAATTTATAAAAGATTTAAGAAATACGGAACACCAATAGTGTAATAATCAATAAATTGGGATATATGTTTAAAAATAATCTTTAACTTTATATAACCAATAGTTTAAATGGAGCATACCTACGGGCGATAATGGGTATGTCCCCATTGACATAAATACAGTAGTAAATACTGTTTGCTGGTTTTTAGTTGGAGATCCGGCTCCAGTTGTTCTAGTCAAACGACTTCCAGACAGAGAAGATCCTCAAATGAGGCTATATCGAAGGACAGAGTCTCGTCTCAGAAACAGCTCCCTGACCCTGTTTTATACAGGATCAATGGGGAATTTTTTGGCTGAGCCTACGGGCTCGGATATCCCACATTAAATTTGGGCTTGTGTCACATCTAACCACGTGGGGCAGTTCGTAGATATCCTGCAGTTGGAGATTCATTGTGGAATTCACCTGCTTCACTTCTAGCAGAACAACATATAAAAGTTTTGCCGCTGGCAAATCTTATATGTGTTGTTCATGTCCTAAGTATTATCATTCATTACCAACCTTCGTGTTATTATTCTATTCCATAACCTTCCCTAGAATAAAGAATAAGAATATAATTTTTTACTTTTGAGTTTTATTGAATTCTTTTTGAGAAGATTCGGGACAAATTTTCATGAAGTTCAAACTTGATATTGCATAATTTATTTACTAAAATGACATATTCAGAGATTTTTCTTTATATAACTGTAAAAATAAATTTTGCGAACATTAAATTATTTAAAAAAGGGACTTGGCACATAGAAGAAGAAAAGTGTGTGTGTGTGTGCGCGCGTGCGCACGAGAGAGAGAGAGAGAGAGAGCGGTGGTCAAGACTCCTGCTGGAAGTGGGCATTGTGAATACATTATTCTAGCTTTTGAGCCATTATTTACGGGTTATCACAATTTTCCTACCAAAAATAAAACATTGTGCTTGAAATGTAAACAAATCCACAAATTTTAAACCTTAACCATTATAAAATACTGATACAACGTTTCCTATTTTAATTTTAATGTCACATGTTTGCAGAGATGGCCATTGATTCCTTCCTTGAGAATAATAAATTTTATCGGAAATGTATGAAGTCTCTCAAGCAGAACGGAACAATGGGATGATGGTGATAGTGGATTGTATCAAATTTATTTTAACAAACTGGGTTGCGATTTTAAAAGTAAGAAAGCCTGAACTAGCTGAGGGAAACAGTAGCAAACTGGTGCTATATATATATATATATGTGTGTGTGTGTGTGTGTGTAGAACCCAAATTCTACATTATTCCAATACCCAAAATGGGTCAAATCTGTGCAAAACGTGGATCACAGAACACTTGCAACGTCATACACCTTCAAAAAAATCTTGATCCCTCATTAGTTAATAAATATACAAGTAGGCGTGACTATCCAACCACACTTAACTAATTTTTACAGCTTGTAACTGAAATCCAAGTTCGCATCAAGACTCTGTGAGCCACCCGAAGCAAATAAAAACAGAAACTCACTCAAACTTGCCAGTGAGAATTGTGACATCAATCGAATTGCAACTAAACTTCGTCACACAATTTTAAGTTTTTTCGTTTATACGAACATTATACAACTTAACGATATTGACACTCGCCCATCAAAACTTATCAGTGAACTTTACTCTTATTCACTCACCAAATTCCTTTACGCAGAAGTTAAACAAATTCCTGCTAACAAATCAACTTATTTTCTCTACATCCGAGAACATTGTATTACACAAAACAATCAAAGATAGATAACTTCTTTGATCCCAACTTGCATTCAACTTTACAAACATTTACTACTTACATAAACAGTAAATTTTTTCTCTTGCAACTAATTTACGGAATCTTCAATAACAGATTCTAGCAAACAACCTTTCGAATTAGAACTCATTATTAACAATATTTAATCTTTCACCAAACTTGAGTTCAACATAAATTACGAATAAGTGGTGGTGTGGGGGCTTTTCCACTCACTTTTTGATGATAAACTGGGAATTAAGCAGAAGACTTAAATCTGTTCTTTGAAACAAACAAAAAAAAAACGTGTATTTGAAATCAAAACAAAAGAAATGTTTACAGTAAGATAATATATCTGAAAAAAAAAATTTCATTTTTTATCAAGGATCAGATAAAAAATGTCGTGAGAGGAAACTTTAAAATTGCAATGATAGAAAATAATTAACAACGAGGTCAAAATTTCACCATCTCTAAATATATATATATATATATATTTGAATAACATATCAGCATTCCTCTCGACCATAATACAATCATTCTGGTCTAGCGAGACAAAAACTTCTGCAAATCAGGAAATAAGACCACTAATCAAGAGCCAGTGAGAATAAAAGCGACACTTTTAAAGTGGATTTCTAAATGCTTATATAAAAAAATGGAAAATAAGCCAAAACCAGAATCGATAAATTCATTTTGTCCCTTCTCTGATACTGCGGTCATCGTAATATACCCAGAGCCGAAATGCGACATTTGACTTTAGATGTCTACACCATGATATATTTAAAAAAAATACACCCTTTCTTCACCGCCTTTTAAACAGCTATCTGCTACATTTCCTTCACCCATATTGTTAAGCAGGCGATTACTACATTTGGATAGCCAATCCTTATTGAAGACGCTCGCTCAGGCACGTTTGTGTTTGCTCAACACTGACAGGGCCCACCTGTGGTTTATACTGAAACTATGCTGAGCAGACCTTAGTTACAGTTTCTGGGAGAGAGCGTCTTATCTGGCATGGTCAACAATTTCAACAAGGCCAGCATGCTCAAGCCCTCGATGCTTCGTGCTAGCACAGCTATCGACAGGCCCCAAGAGTTCCGTCTACCTAATTTTCACTCAAAGGTATCGCACGCTGGGTTCGATCTCAATCCAGTCAGGAAGTCTCCTTCCTGACAAATCGACCATGGTGAGATTCGAACCCGGGTATCATGGCCAGAAAACAACGTTTCAACCACTCGTCCATGATGCATACATACATACATTTCCTACCTCCTGGACTCTCTCTCTCTTTCTCTCTCTCTCTCTCGTATGCACCAGAACTTTTACACTTGAACTCTTGAAACTTCAACTTTCACCTCATCCTTTTGTATTATTATATTGTGTTATATAAAGATTTATTTTGCATTTTCTTTTAATCATTGCAAAGGGCCAGTATACAACCAAACCAAATATAGCTATATATGGTGGGAAATCGTCCATAAATTGTAATATCAGATTTACCAATCCACACTTTTAATACCTTATTTAGTCCTCCCACACTTTTTATTTTGTTGTTCCATACTTGTAATAGGTGATCAGTTACCACCACGACACATTTATCTTCTTTCTACTACTCCGTTTAATAACAACAGCAAAATTTGGAGAGTTGAATTAAAGGAAGATAAGTGAAACATCCGGAAGAGACATGGTACATGGAACTAGAACAATCTACCCCGGTGGACGAAATAAAGGGTTTAGTTCAAAATTCCAATCACCTGAATAATGCCGGAGCCTAAAACGCCGGAACCGTCGTGAATATGACAGAAAAGATCAGGACAACAGTCGTGTATGTGTTTTAGGTAACTCCACAGAAAACGCGATACCTTAAGTTTTAAATGAATTTGTAAAAATTAAAAATTTTTCTGGAGCCTTTTATTTTAGTTTTAATTTCAAGCTAATAGATTAAATCTAATATTTCCAATAAGCAAAACAATTGGGTGTATTTCAAAACTAATTTAAATTGACTGGAAGGAATTTTTGTTTTTTTGCTAAAATAGCTGATTTTAACGCCATTTTTAACCATCTTTCATCGCATTGTAATTCTCTTTATTAAATTTTAAAAAATGTAAAAAAAAAAAAAAAAAAAAAAAACAACGACAAAAAACAAAAACAAAACAAAAAACAAAAAAACAGAGCAATGTTTCGCGGGAAGAAGTTGTTTGAATAGAACTTACCTTTTACCGATGGAATACGGAGGGGAGGATCTGGATGGTTTGCTACAATGTAAGTATTAGGTCATCCCATAAGTTCTGTCCGAATTTTAAGTTTTTGTTAAAATGAACGAAATTTAAAGAGTATTTTATAATGTCTAATGGAGCTGAACATTATCTTTATGTTTAGATGCATTTAAACTGATCAACTTTTATTTCAGCGAACAATAAAATTAAATTTTGTTTGATTAAAACCCTGCTAACATGGAAGTACCCAAGAATCATTTGAGGCACATAATGCTTTATGAGTTCAAGAAAGGAAACTCGGCAGCCGAAGCGGCTAGAAACATTCACTCAGTTTATGGAGAGGAATGTGTGAATGAAAGAACTTGCAAAATTCAGAGGTGGAGATTTCACCCTTGAAGATGAAGATCGAACCGGACGTCCAGTTGAGTTTGATGAAAAGCTTCTTGAAGCAGCCCTTGTAGAAAATCCTGCTTTATCAGTTGAAGAATTTGCAGTGATTCTCAGTTCAAACCATACAACTGTTCATCATCATCTTCAATAACATGGAAAAGTTCCTAAACTTGGAAAATGGGTGCCTCATGAATTGTCTGAAAACAACCTCAAATCCCGAATTAACATCTGCTCTTCTCTCCATTCTCGCCAACTTGTTTCACCTATTTTGGATAGACTTGCGACTGGCGACGAAAAATGGATCTTTTATCGAAATGTTAAGCGTCGTAGACAGTGGCTTGGTGAAGGGGAAGGACCCCAGCCACAGCTGAGAAGGGAACTTCATGGGCAAAAGGTTCTTCTTTCAATCTGGTGGGATCGCCAAGGAATAATCCACTTTGAATTCTTACCACCTAATGCAACAATTAATGCTCAAATATACTGTCAGCAATTAGAGCGTTTGAACCAAGCTTTGAGGAAAAAAAACCTGCTCTAGTGAATCGAAAAGGGGTGATGTTTCATCAGGACAATGCGCGACGCCACACAGCAAGAATCACGTCACAAAAGATGGAGAACTTGGTTGGGAGAAAATTCCTCATCCACCTTATTCTCCCGATCTTGCTTCTTCAGACTACCATTTGTTTCGTAGCTTACAGAATCATTTGGAAGAAACAGCTTTTGTAACACAGGAAGAGGTTAAAACTGACATTTGTGAGTTCTTCGAATCAAAGCCAAAAGAATTTTACAGTAATGGAATTAGTAAGCTAGTTAATAGATGGAAGGAAGTCATAGATAATCAGGGAAAATAAATTGTTGATTGAATCTGTAATTAAATATAACATTTGGTCACTTGTTTTCTTTATTCAAAATTCGGACAGAATTTATGGGATGACATGATAGTATGGTAGGCTTGAGGGAACCAAGGAATGTTGTTCGTCTGAGCACTTTACATGGTAGTAGCGATTTAGCAGCGAACAACACAAAAAAAGACTAAAATTTCCTATACTAATCTTTGCTCCCCGAAACCCGCTGACGTAAGAAAAACAAGATTTTTAGCCAAAATTTAGAACGTTTTAAAAGGGAATATTAAAAAACAATCCTTTTTCCTTTCTTAACAAAGATTTTTACGATAAAACTTTGTTCTTATTATGTTTGGGGTATTTTTTCATCATGGTATGCTGTTTTAACAAATCATTGGAGTTACCTACATACGAGGGTAAAATAAGTCAAAAACGTTTTTGCCATTTGGACAAGAATGCGGATAATTTTTGTCATACCCTCGCTTATAGAAATGTATCAAGTTATTTCACTGCTTTCTAATTTCAAATTACTATTTGAGAAAAAAAAAAGAAGAAGAAAACAAAAAAAGAAATAAACCAAGAAAAAAAAGAAAAGAAAGACTGTAGTTCATTGCGTCTTTTGTCAATAAGGAAAACATAAATTCTATTGGTTAACTGATAAAAAGAAACCCGGATCTTAGAGATTATATAAATGAACGCTCAAAACTGAAACACTCAAAGAAAAAACAATAACAAAAAAAAGAAACATGTCTCGTTTTCATAACTTGTTCGTCTTTGCCGCTTTCTTGTTTGTATTTCTGGTATACACCGAGGCATGTCGTCGGCAGCCAGAGCAAAGAAGATATATAGACCTAATTCTTTCGGTTGTGAGAGAAGCTTTGCCCAAGAACAGCTTCGAAGTTTACGATTTTAAAGTAAGTACATTTTTTTTTTTTTTTGGTTTTGGTTTTTTACGCTTCTTCCATATCGAATTCTGAAAACCCTCTGCAAAATTTAGTACAAATTAGTAAGTTTCTTGAAACTGTTTTACTTTTCGTATTTTCACTATTTACAAATGGAATTCCTAAATACCTGTGCAAAAAAATGAAATATTTTTTATTTAAATAGGCCTTCTCTACCCTTAGTGAGATAATTCCAAAATTAAATTTGAGATTATCTACTGTTCTTGTCAAATGGAAATCAGTTTCATGGCAGTTGATGTAGTTTGACTGTTACATTCTTGCACAAGAAGAATGTTGAAAACTAATTGGATTAATTTAAAACATTTTTAGTTTCATAAAAATAGAAAGAAAAACCAGGCTTAAAAATTGTTGCTTTTACCAAGGTTTGGCCTAATAAAAGTAGGGTTGTCCCAGGTAACGCTAAAAAAGTGGTATACCCTGGAGAAAAAAGGTCCTCAAATTGATAAAAAGAAATTTAACGTGTAAATGTATATGTTAAAATTAAAGAGGGAAGACCAAGGTATTTTTTAATTATTTTAAAAAATTTTTTTTTCATTTGCAGCCTTTTTAAATTTAGGTCGAATCTTTTTTTTTTTTTTTTTTTTTTTTTTTAAAAAAAATTAGGTAATATTAACATTACTTGTTTTCCCCCTGTTTTCAGTTGGAAAAAAAAACACATTGATTTGGAAAATCTTGCAAAAATCAAGTACTTGTTGGATTTTAATGAAAACTTTCAGAACTTATTCACAAATGAATGAAATTATTTTAGAAATGTTTGTCTTTTTGAAAGTCATGGTATAAATATTTTTTATATCTGTTACACCCTCGAACTTAATTTTATGAAAACTTCAAAGATTTATTTTCAAAGCCTGAATTTGTTTTTTCAATTAAATGCACAAGACTCTGAAGATTCTAAATCATCGATTTTTTTTTTTTTTTTTTTTTTTTTTTGTCCAAACTTTTACCTCAATTGTAGAAATACAAAACCCAATAAAACTGAGACAATATTTAATTGAAAAAACTTTTTATGACTTTTCTGAATAACATATACTAAGGTAATTCTTATCTGAAAAAAAAAAAAATTTTGCTGAAAAATGAATTTTTACAATTTTTTTTTTTTTTTTTTCTATTTTAAATACACAATATGACAATGTTATATATTTTAAAATTAAGTTTCTTTATAAAGCCTTATGGAAATGACATATGTTTTCTACTTATAGATCATAAATTTGAAAGCTTATTAAAATCTGACAACCGTGAATATTTTTAAAATTTTTTAATATTCCAAAATTGTATTTAATATCGCCTCCAACGAAAGTATGGATGCACAACTTTGAAATAACGTCACGTGAGGTAGAGTTGTTTCCCAGATAGAAGCAAAGTTTTTTTACTTCAGAAATTACTTTGCATTCATTCAGTTAACAACAAAGCAAAATTTGAAATCGATTGCATAGCATTTCAATATTAATTTTGTTAATAAATAAAATATGTATAACTCAATTTAAAAAATGTTGTTACTGTTTCATTTTTACTTGTAAAATTTGATTTTTTTTCACAATTTAAATGTTATTTTCAGTGCAGAAATCTTTCTTCAAACGTAAGGTTAAAAAAAAAAAAAATTGAAAGTTATTTTTAATTTACTAACCAGGTTCACTTAAAATTAGAACGAATTACATCACTTCTGCGCTACCGTACGATAAATTCCCTTGACGTAAGTTGTCAATATATTGACACCCATCAATTGTTGCACCCTTCAATCACGCACTCGCGCGAGTACCACGGTTGGAAATATCTCTATTAAAAAATTTTCTGCTAAAAAAGTAATGTTTCTTTCAAATTGCATTAAGTATACTTTAATCATTCTAAATTTCCTAAACAAAAAAATAAAGGTGTAATTGAATTTTAATTGATTTTTGAACTAATTTTGAATTTTTTTTTTTTTTTTTTGTTTTTTGTTTTTTGTTTACAAATTCGGCCAGAAATGGCTGATAAATCGAATTTACTAGTTTTTTTTATTCAAGAAAAACGAGATTTTTAAATAAAATTTTTAAAATTTATAGGAAGGACTAAAAAATCTGAAGAAATATTCAAAAAATACTTTGGTCTTCCCTGTTTAATTTTAACAAACATTTACACGTTAAAATTTTTTTTTATCAATTTGGGGACCTTTTTCTCCAGGGTATACCACTTTTTTAGCGTTACCTGGGACAGTCCTAAATAAAAGTGAAATTGATTTTTTATTTTATTTTATTTTTTTTTTCAGCTTTTTATTCAATAAACATAACCGGATTTGCTTTTTTAAATCTTCTACTTATTCTGATTTTATCGCTAAAAACTTTTACGTTTGCAATGACATAATTTTCTACATTTATAAAATAGTGTGTAGTGACAATGCACCTCCCACTTTGTATATGCAAAAAAAACTAGTTCCCAGTACTTCTAATAATAGGAATATATTAAAAAAGAAAAACCAGTTTAAATGTTTGTCACCTATACAGTAGTTCTACATTGAGTTAAAAAAAAAAAAAGTATTGTGTTGAACTTTGTAAATTATATATGGGCTGATCATAGCATTTAGTTAAGTATGAAACTGACTGTCGCCTCTGGGTATTGATTTCAATATCCACTTTAAATATTTACATACGCTCAATCCCTGATATTGAGACCATAACTATAGCATACCTTTAAAACTATATTTGTGTCAGGAAACGTTATTTTTAACTGGATACACGTATTAGAGTAGGCACTCCGTTTGCGTTTATTAAATTATTTTCACCTATCAGCCTGAATGTTCGAGAAATCTTAAAGAAAATTTTGTACCTTTTGATAGAAATCGAACATGCGTCCAGGAAATAAGGAACCACCTGCGAATTTTGATTTAATTCAACTATCAAATGATTGCTGTGAGTGTGTTGTGGAATTCTATGTTGTGGGAATCTGATTTTTTTTTTTTTTTTTTAATGTGTGTGTGTACGTTGTAAAGTAAAATAATTATGGGCTACTGGTACATTTGTTCAGCAAGCAATATGGCCGAACTCCTGAATATGAGTAAAAATAAATAACACAAAGCAGGGAATTTAAAACAAACGGAAATTAATGCATGTATTATAACAAAATTAGCCGCACGTATACACAATTGAAAAGAAAACGCGTTGAAACTAGATATGAATGTTCTTGTTTGTGTGTGAAATAAACGTGTGATTGTGCGTCTAAAAGAGTTCAAAATTCAATAGAGGACCAAGGAAGCGAACGCGCCCCGTCGGCAGCGTTCTTTATCTATGTTCGACTACATCTGGAAGCAAGAGTTAAAGAGAATACGCTTGTTTTTTTATAGACTTAAGCGCACCCTAATGGGCGTTTTTTTGGCAAAGCCAAGTGAAATCATATCATCACGTCGATCACAGTTGCCAGAAGTTGGTGTTCGAGCTTAGCTTTAAGAAGATTTTGAACTCTGATTTTCTAAAGAGGTAAACTTCTTTCAGTTGGATAATTAGCGTGACGCCACTTTTTTTTTTTTTTTGCTGACTATTGTTTGCTGGGCATACGGTCCTGGAAGAAGACAACAAGGAATTGATAAATACACGTACAGTGCTCATAATTATGGTGATCCAGTTGTTTACTGAGGCCTGAGATGTACTTGTCAAAATATTGTGAACAAATTATATCATTGTTTTAGTCAGTTAGGTTTATTCCATTTCGCCAACTGTTTTATTCAAGTTATTGTCTTCCTCCAGGACCCGGATGTACGTGTGGTGCAATGGCTAGAGGCATGGGATGAGAAATCGGACAGACAAATTCAAATTACAGTCGGGTTTCTTGGGAAAAGGTGTGGGTTAAAAAGTAGGAAAAATCATTTTTATTCTCAAAGAATTACTAAATATTATAATAATCCAAAAATGTTTCAGCTTTAAATAACTTACAAAGTGTCGATAAGCCGTAAAAAAAACAACAACAAAAGCCCAAAGCTTTCAGGACGATGTGTTCGGTAAACAGTAGACAAACCTTTTTTTTATTGGGTTTAATGTCAGTTGATCCTAGTAAATATTAAGCAAACTCGTAGGTGATTGTCTAAGCGTGACCAGGAATTTTAAGTATTTATTGTCCTCGAACACAAACCCAGAAATTTTCAATTTTTTCTTCATAAGGATGGTTTATCTTAAAATAAGATAACGAATTAAAATTCTAAATTATGTGACTTTGTTCAAATTATCCAAAATGAATGTTCTTTTTATTATTTTCATTGCTGCATACAGTGGTTTTACTCAAGTAAATACCTGGCAACTGTGTTCCACTTCGATAAAAGTGCATGTAGATTGTGCTAATTAAATTCGAATAGGTTGACTATATTTTGTGCACCTGTTTTTACTCACATGATCATGTTATCATCCATGCACACAATTCCATTATTGTTATCTATACAGAGGATCAATTGCTATTTGCTTGGTTATATGTCCATACAGCCTATTTCCATTATAAGTACAAAATTCCTGGTTGTTGTTTCATCACCTGTACATATTAATATACTAACGCCTTAACAAGACTGAAGGAAGGGGGCTAGAATAACTCAAAATTCCGAAAATGAGTTAACCATGAAATTATTTTATATACAGCACTGAATGTGCAAATATGTCATTAAGATGATATATCCAGAATTCAATGTCCAGGACAGAGTAAGAATCTTACTTATTATTAAACGCAGATTGTGTGTGTGTGTGTCTGTACGTTTATATATTGGATCGGATTTCCTACATCAACCGATTTCAACAAAACTTCACAGGACTGCGTAAGATTACCTTGCGGTGGTTCTGACAGCGCCAAAAATTGGAAAAACACAATTGTTTTTGCACGAAATCAATTTGAAAACACGATTCTGTCGCCAGAATGAAAGGGGGGACAACTCATATCGAGTCTTACTTATTATAAAACCCAGGTTGTGTGTGTTCATTTATATATGGGATCGGATTTCCTACATT